TAAATGTTGGTTTTTTCCAGGACTTGTTCCTAGATCCTTGTCACTGCTTTCTCCATTTCTTTCTCGGATGATCTCATTCTTTCCGGTGGTTTTATCCCCCAAGGAGTGCTGGCAATTTCTATCTCCTCCTGAACTTTCTTCTTAGCTCTAGATTAGTATTTCCAACTGCCAACCTGACATTTCCGCTTCAGTGTCTTTAAAGGCTTCTCAAATTAGACATGACCAAAACATAGCACTTTTGCCCTGTTTCTGCTGGGTTCCCCGCTTCAGTCTGTTCAGACTCCCATCATCTTCATCGCCGTAAACGCTGCAACTATCCATTTGCTCAACTGCTTAAGCCAGAAACCCAAGAGTTGTTCCTGATGCTTCACTCTGCCCTTACCTCCCTTGTCTTCACCTTCCATCTTTAACCATTATCAAGTTTTGATTCTAACTCCAGAATAGATGTCAAACCCATCCACTTTTCTCTGGTGGATACTTTGTCAGCATCCCTGCCCAGTCACTATCATTGGTCACTAAACTGCTGCAGTGGATCCCCTCCTCTTCCCCTTCCAGGCTGCTCTCCATCTCACTTCCTGTGTGCTCAGTTTCCTTTGCTCTCACTGTTTCTACCCCTCTATGCTTCTCCTCTCAGTGTTTCTGCTAATTCTTTTCCCCACATCTCTATCCACCTCTCCTTCTGTTTTCTTCCCCCTTTCTCTGTTAAACCCATCAGTATTTCACTCCCATGTTTCTCTGTCCCCCTCAGGGAGCTCTGTTAAACTATGAAATACATTATGTCTCTCCCTTGGTTAAAACTCTTCCATGGCTTCCCACTGCAATTAGAATAAAATCTACTTTCCTCAGTATGGCGTCACGTGGTGGGGCTACTGCCTGACTCTCCAACCCTATCCTAAGCCACAAGTGCTCCACGCTTCAGCCATACTGGCTTCTTTCAGTTCTCGGAATGCGCCAAACTCTCTCCCCTTCTGTACAGAGTCTTTGCAAAAATTATTCTCTATGCATAGAACTCTTCCCTGTCTCTCTCCCTGGCTAATAGCCACCATTCTTCAAGTTCATGTTTTTCCTCCAGCAAAACCATTTCTAAATCACCCAATCAAAGTCTTAAAGTAGGCCCCTGCTGTCTCTCTCTCTGTTTTTTCTTTCAAAACAATTACCATGATTTAACCTTGTATATTCAGTACATACACAAATGAATGTAGTAGCTCCATGAGAGCATCACGTCTGTTATGTCCATCACTGCGTCTGTTGCCTGCGGTGCCCAGTTTAATAAAGGGTGTGAATAAATGATTGTTTAATAAATGAAGGAGTGGACATTGCTTGGACAAACACATAGCTTGAACAGTGATAGAGCCACAGAAATGAGTGAAACCAATAGAGTGGACGGTGAGGAGACAGCCTGAATGGAGCAAAGGGCCTATGTGTGACACAATCCTTAAGCCTTATTCTAGCAAGAGACTTCTATGTTACACATTCATATTTGAGTATGGATGTTGGTATTTTAAAGTTTTTATGTTCACTTACAACCGTATTTTATGTTAGTAAAAGAAGCTTTCCAAATTACACTTAATGATTTCTCAGTATTAGCTTTGTTTTCTTACCTCTTTTTAATTTGATGAATTATGTTAAATGAACTATAATTATGTCCTATCATAGTATCATCATAACAACCCATTTGTTAAGTGCTAGCTATGTATCAGGTACTTTATTTGTATCACCTTATTTAATCTTTACAACAAGCATACAAGAGAGGTGGTGGTATCCCATTTTACAAATGAGAACACAGGAGGCTCAGAGAAGCAAACTATCCCAAGATCATCTGGAACTCAAAGCAGATGGGTCTGCTACTTTCTACTACCCCAGTGGTGCCTTTATGGTGATTTATTTTAGTATACATTAAAAAGTATGAAATATGTTTGGTATGGATACAGCATTTCTGTTTTTTCTTCTAGGCAGTTAGGAAATATTTAACTCAAAATTTTAAAGCTGAGAAAGTTGTTTTTTATTCCCCTGAACAAATCAGGATATCTTCTTTAACTTTTTCTAAATGAAACATTAAAAATGATGAAATGTTTTTTTGACACAGGAGGGCGTACAGACCAGTATAATAATACCTGTGTTCTCACTGCCTATCTTGAACTAAAATCTTACTGGTACAGTTGAAAGGCCTCTGTGCCTTCCATCCTAATCTCGTCTCCCTCCTCTCCTCAGCAGTAACTACTGCGCCAGTAACCACTGCGCCAACTTGGGCATTTATCATATCCCTGCAGCTTATGTGTCTTGGCAGTAATCTGTCGGCTGGGTGCTGAATGTATATGTGTTGCAGTGGCAGTTAATGTTATTATTTCTCTGAGGAAACTTACTTTATTTCTTTGCTTTTTTGCCATTCTTTTCCAAGTCGGCCCCCAATTTGTACCAGGACTGAGACATACCACCTTGTGCTCTCCCCACCACATTTTATAATGTGAGTGAGGAATTAAAATATACTCAGTTTCAGAGGCTACAGCTGTGGAACAAAGGAGCAGCTCCACGGGCTGGCATGTTTTTCCCATCATGATCTGAAGTCAAACTGGTGTGAAGAGCCTTACCATAAATAATCTTGAGGACCTCATGGCTGAAACTGTTTCTAAGTGGGCTAGGCCCAAATTCTGTTTAAGTTTCAGGTGGATAAGTGCACTCTGTGCTTCTAACATTTTCTCCAGTTTTAAAAAATTAAGTATAGTATTCACTTGTGATCTCTGCATAAGCTGTTTGTCTTGTTAAAGCAGGGTTAGCGAATAGTTTGGACTTGGTCATTTGAGAGCTCTTTTTTTTTGGCCCAAATCCAAGGGAAAAGACTTCCTCAAGATGGCACAGAATTAAAGTAGTCTTCTCCAAAAAGACAGACAAAAACAGAAACCAAAAAAAGCCAATAAATTGCTAATCAAGGTGCAGATCCAGAAATGAAGAGTTGCTGATTCGGTATAATTGGTTTATGTGAAAAAAAAAAATGTAGAGACTGAGTCTTTTAGGAAAAGATAGATAAGAGGAAAGCAGGTAATAAACTGAGTAAGAAGCAAGAATTGGGATTGTGATGCAGATTGGGGACTGGGCTAACTGTAGACAGGAAGCTGCTTTTGGGATTGATTCAATGCTTGAGACAAAAATGATTTGGAAAGAGAATAGTGAATGACTAGAAAGTATGAATAACTGGCTCTTAGGATCTGGAACACAGTAAATACTTAGGAGTTAATGATGATTCACTGATACAATCTCATCAGTTTATAAAAGTTTTCCAATAAAAGCATATATTTGTGTACCTGATAGTTTTTCACACATGAAGATATATTATAACCTATCTGAGTACCATTTATTAAATAACTTCTTTTTAAAGGTAATCCAGATGGTTAATTATGTTATCTTTAAAGTAGTTTTTTCTATTACATAAGAATGATGTGGGGGAAGATATATATATATATATATATATATATAAAATAGACTCTCTGTTAAAGTTCAGTGATTGAAGATGGTGCACAAATTCTTCATTTCTTTCATAAAACTAATTTTGTTGAATTTTCCATAAAAACTGCAACTACTAAACATTCTTGTGATAGCTTCTTTGTGACTGTGTCACTGTTCTTGATTTGCACACGCCTTATAATTCAGGCCTTCTTTTGTTTGGGGTTGGCAGTTCCAGCTGTTCAAGCTCTTGTCTGATTATGTGGGACTCCTTATTTTAATGGGAGCAGCTTCTTTGCTGTATTTTTTAAAAATGGTCTCGGAAGCTTCTTACTATGGATCTTTGTTGGGGACAAAGGATTATTTATGCTAAAGGAAAACGTATTCCCCACTGAGTTAGCTCGTGGGAAGCATAACAAACTCCTTAGTAATGCTCAATTGTACTTTGGCCTTTTGCTAGGGTAGAGAGAAGGAAAAATGACATCAAGGACATTCTGCTGTCCTTTGCCTTCTTGCGAAGACAATGTGATGTGTAACATCAGACTTTTCAGTTAGGTTTAGCTCCAGTTCAGCTTTGGTACTGGAAGAAATGTTCCTGAGAGGAAGGTGGGATGTGTAGTTGGCACGGTACCTGAGGTATGTTTGGTATAACTTAGGGGAGAAAGTAACTTTTCCTTGGAAATTGATAGCCTTATAAGCCATTTTCTGTTTTTTCTTAGAATATTTTAATGGTGGTTTACAATAAGAAATAGACTAGTATATTATGCTGCTTATAAGCAATCTAAAATCCTAGGTTTTATATAGTCTATTATTCTGAGTGTTTTCAAACTCTTCACTTTCTTTCCTCCGAAAATACATTAAAGAATTGGATTAATCTAACTTAAAGTTGTGTTTTTTTCCTTGTATGTTTCAAGAATAGTCCTTTAGAGTTCACATTGCTTTTTTTTTTTTTTGGTCTTTAGCACCTCATGGAGAAAATAACTTATGGAAAATTATTAAGGAAAGGCATTGAGTATTGTTTCATAGTTAAAATTGATATTTTTCTTTATTACCTTGTCATCTGGTGGAAGAAGCTTATGGTTAAACTTGAGAATTTATACAAAGTTCGGATGAACTTATCTCTGTAAAGATCAGATGAGAGATACTTGACTTTCAGTATCAGTTGTTGTGATATTTGTATTTACATTATATTTACAGTGTGTTTACAGGGGAAAATTCTGGGGCACTTTTAAGGTAAGCTAAGTTTTATTGTTAGTTTTATTTTACTAGTCAGATGCTTCAAGAATTACATTGATATTAGTGCCAGAAACTACATATTAAAGTGTGTTTCAGATTTTCCTCTTTCAAATGAGGAGTACTTTTATGAAGTAAGAAACCAGGAGTATGATTGCCTTCTCCTATGGTCAAATTATTCCAAATAGAAAAGTATTAGGTTTTCAATTAGATAAGAGAATAAAGCAGATTCCTTGTAATTTGAGGGTTTGGGGGAGTAGGAAAGCTACCATTGTCTGCATATTAATGTTTTGTTTTATTTTCATAGCAGCAGTAGCATTTCAGCATAGATGACCATGCTGCCTGCAATTCAAGTAAGTGGTTCTCTTGGGAAAATATATATTTAAGTTAATGAGATTAATATAATAAGATTACAATAGTTAGAAAAAAACTAAAATTATCACAAAAATTTTCTATTTTACTGTTTTTTTAAGCATCAAATTTAATAATAGGAATACTATATTTTCACTTTCTAGTTCTGAAAAGACTTTAATATTAAGCTTTCATTTATACTGCATATTTGTAAGAATCAAAAATATCTTAGGATTGGTGGGTTCATCGTATTTGTACTACCCTGGGAAAAGAATTGGAATAGTTTAAAAGAGCTTTCAATGAAAACAAATATAAATTCTTAATTTTAGATAACTACACGTGCCCTGTAATGCCTGTAAATAATGTGTCGTTAAAACTTAAAATTTAGAGCGTTTTTATTTTGTTTGTTAGTTTTTTGGTGAGGGGAAGCAAGATGGAGGTAATAAGACAAACCAGAATAATCTTACATTTGAATGATTTCCAGAGTTGGTATTTATTCTTAGATCCTTTAAAAGTTTTCTTTCTTTTGACATAAATAGAACATGACTGAATTTTAACTTAAAAATCACCTTGAAGGTCTACCTAGGAAGATGTAAGCAGCTGATAATAAAATTTGCCTTTGAAAGTGAGAATTTTAGAGTCAGTCAGATTTTGTGTCTGATTTTTTTTTTTTTCCTGTACGCGGGCCTCTCACTGTTGTGGCCTCTCCCGTTGTGGAGCACAGGCTCCGGGCGCGCAGGCTCAGCGGCCATGGCTCACGGGCCCAGCCGCTCCGCTGCATGTGGGATCTTCCCAGACCAGGGCACGAAGCCGTGTCCCCTGCATCGGCAGGCGGACTCTCAACCACTGCGCCACCAGGGAAGTCCCTTGTGTCTGATTTTTATTCTGCCACTCTGCTTGTGAGATCCTGGCAAGTTATTTTACCTCTCTGAGTCCCCGCTCCCTTGCCTCTGAGGTGAGGATAATAGCTGTATTTTTCAGGGTAGTTGTGAGGAATCAATGAGATAACATGAGCCAAGTGCCTCCTGGAATGTGTTGTTACCTAGTAGGCACTCACAACTTTGGTTGTATCATTGGTACAACGAAATTATCCGGATGTAAAGCTGGAGATTATAACTGTGTCGTGAAAGTTTTTTTTTTTTAATTAAGAAAGGCTTATCAAGATAGCAGTGTGTGATAGCCTAGAGAAGATAACTTATTTATTAAATGGTTAAGAACAATTCTGAATGCGATGCTGCTTTCTCCCTCCTATGCTGTGCAGCTATATCCTCCTACTCTACTAATAAAGAGTTCTTTTGTACTGTTTTCCTTTGGGGACTTGGGAGTCCATGGCAGTCTCCCAAAAGGTCTTACTCTTCCCCTTTGGGGTCCTCTCTAATCCACATTGAGTATGCTCAGAACTCCTTATTTCTCAAAACCACTTTTTATCTGATTACTTCTATTCATCTCTTTTTGTCCAAGTCTCAGAAATGTCATCAGTTTCATGTTGATTATATTTTCTCTATTCCTTATAAAGTGCTTTTTTGTTTTTGGGGTACGTGGGCCTCTCACTGTCATGGCCTCTCCCGTTGCAGAGCACAGGCTCCCGACGCTCAGGCTCAGCGGCCATGGCTCACGGGCCCAGCCGCTCCACGGCACGTGGGATCTTTCCGGACCGGGCCACGAACCCGTGTCCCCTGTATCGGCAGGCGGACTCTCAACCACTGCGCCACCAGGGAAGCCCTAAAGTGCTTTTTTTTTTTTTTTTTCTGTTAAAGCTGTTAAAGCAAAGCCGAATAGGGTTGCTCTTTTTTATTTGAGGGGTTGTGGGACAAGCAGTAGTATTGCAGGAAAGGGGGACCCCTTCCAGGGCCCGAGAGTGGGAAATGAATTGTTCGAGGAGACACACGTGCTGACAAAGCAAGAGACTTTATTGGGGAATGGGCACCCAGGTGGAGAGCAGCAGGGTAAGGGAAACCAGGAGGACTGCTCTGCCACGTGGCTCCCAGTCTCTGGCTTTATGGTAATGGGGTTAGTTTCTGGGTTGTCTCTGGCCAGTGACTCTAACTCAGGGTCCTTCCTGGCGGCACATGCATTGCTCAGCCAAGATGGATTTCAGCAAGAAGGATTCTGGGAGGTTGGTAGGACATATGGACTGGAGTCGCCTCTCTCCTTTTGACCTTTCCCAAATTCTTCCCGTTGGTGGTAGCTTGTTAGCTCTGCATTCCTTACCAGGACCTCCGGTTTAAGATAACTCGTGCAAGTGGTTCCCCCAATAGTAGGTTGAAGGTGCAAAAAGTAATATGGCAGCCTTTAAAGGACTTTTGGTAGTTTTGCTGTTTCCAATGTGCTACTGAGGGGGATCAGGACACAACACCCCAAAATACTAAAGATCCTTTTGAGTGGAAAGCAACTGAGAAACAGCCAACTCCAGAAAAGCTCCAAAACCAGAGTATAAATTTCCCTTTTGTAAAGGAAATTTCCATTTTTATAAAGGAGATTTCCATCTGTAAAGGTGTCTTCCTCTCCTGCAGGCAGAGAATGGCCAGAGACTCTTATCTTATGAGAGGACTTAAGTCTGCTTAACTAATCCTACTAAACAATCCTTATTTACCTGGTGCCCTTCCTACAACCTCCCCTCCTCCTTTGCCGTAGTCCAAAACCCCCTTCACACTGATAGAAAGATATTTAAACCCTGGGTCTATCTGCCCCTTTGGGCTTTCCATCATTTTCTGGGAAGCTCCCTCCTGCCTAAGTAACAAATCCTTTTCTCTAAATGTGTCTTTTGTCAGTTTAATTTGTAGGGCCCTAGAACCTGGACCTAAGAGGATAAAGGAAAAAGTTCCTTCCTCCCACTGTGACCTCCCCAGGTAAAATGTACATTCAGGCTGTATAATGATCATTTAAAATCCAGAAGAGAAACATATTTGTTGAAAGAAACTGTTGACATTACGGTGCGCGGGCCGCTCACTGTCACGGCCTCTCCCGTTGTGGAGCACAGGCTCCAGACGCGCAGGCTCAGTAGTTGTGGCTCACGGGCTTAGTTGCTCCGCGGCATGTGGGATCTTCCCAGACCAGGGCTCAAACCCATGTCCCCTGCATTGGCAGGCAGATTCTTAACCACTGCGCCACCAGGGAAGCCCTAAAGTGCTTTTTATCATTGCCACATTGACCATGTTTTTCTCATTTCTCTCCTAATGGCCATTAATACTTTCTTAAATTGGTGATTTTTTTTCATAGTGTTGTCTTATAGTTCCACAAACCCGTCTCTGACCTAGATTCCACAGATCTGTCCCTATTGATTCTTCTCCAAGAGTACCCTTGACATCCCTCATGGAAGTTTTTGCTTCGCTCCCTGGTGAATGTGAGAACTTCCTCGGATTTTCACCTCTTTGCTAATTAGGCTTCGCTTTTTCATAAGTGCCTTGCAGAGAGGAGACACCCAGTAGATAGCTGGTTTCTTATTCATTTAATCCATGAAGGTCTTCCTTGCCCCTTTTTTATGTCCCTGATTCTGATTAGTAAATAAACTTACAGTCTAAAAATCAATGAACTAGATAGTTCCTAATCTCTTTTGGGTCACAGACCCTTTCCAGAATCTAACAGAAGCTATGAACTCTCTCTCTCTGAGAAAAGGCCCATTTGTACGTAGGCCTAAATTTTTGCCTAAATGTAAGTTAAGTTTATATACTGGTTCAGGTTCTTCTGTAGACTGCCTATGGTTAGGAATCTCTGTAATATGACAGCTTTCAGCATGATTGAGAACAATCTTTATACATGCAGGTTTTGTTATTAACACCTAGCTTTTAACAACATTAATATGCTGCTGACTAGCCCAGGTTTTTATAGTTTTCTGCTTGTAATAATCGGAAAATCCAAGTACTCTTCTCCCTAATGTGGCAAGAACTTAGAATGACTTTTGTTAATTTTAGCTTCTCCATTTTCACACATGATATTTTCAAAACCACCTTCCTAGATAATGTACATGTTTCCTTGACAAGCATTTGCATCTTCTCTGCCTTTTGTCAGCTCAGCCAAATGGTTAAAGGACAAATAACGTTCTGTTGACTGTAAAATACCGTTTATTGTAAGATGCATCTTGATTTTGATGGTACAAGGAGTCATTTGCTAGTATCTGTTCCTCAAGTATTCAACTAACATTTTTGACTGCCTATCATGAGGTAGGTCTTATACTGAGTCCTGGGATTACGGAAGCAAGACATGCTTATGAAGGGAAGATTTAGATATTATATCTTTGCTGTACTCCCTTTGAAGTAATTCTAAGAGAATTTGGGGAAATAACATCTTGTTTTTTTCCAAAAACTTTATGGGATCCTCATGTATTTAGGAGTTCATTCCCCAAATCTCTACTCTCAGTTTCTGAAATAATGCCCCTCGAATAACAATGTTCCTCTTAGTCTTTGGGTATTTTTATTAAGTTTTGCTACTCCTGCTTGCCTCTTGTGGTATATATTCATTGTCTTTCTTTGCCTGTGAGATTTTTAAAAAACGTGTTTATTTCTCATCACAGGAGATTGGAAGCAGCTCTTTTTTTTTCCCTCTATGTTTGTCTGAGATAACAATGGTATTGTTATGGCTTTTGATTTGGTATAGTAACACTTGCCTCAAATAAACCTCAGTAAGTTTAATATATTTCAGGGGGGAAATTATCTACATTGAAAAATCAAGACAGAACTAGATTCACTTGGTATTACCTATACTTACGCCTCTTTTTAAAAAAAATTTTTTAAATTTTATTTTAAAGCAATCACAAACCTGCAAAGTGGTTGTTAAGTGTAGAGCAGAGATATTTGTTTGCTGAACCATTTGAGAGTAGGTTGCAAATCTAATGTCCCGTTACCTCTGGTACTTTAGTGCATTTATCGCGTGCAAGGACTCCCTCCTATACAGCCACAATGAAATCATCAGAATCAGGATATTAGCGTTGGTACGGAACTACTATCTAATACTCAGACCACATTCAACTATTTGTCAGTTGTCCCAGTAATGTCCAGTTCAGAATCACCTGTTGCGTTTAGTTGTCGTGCCCCTTAGTCTTTATTAGTATTTGCTTTCTTTAATGACCTTGACACTTTTGAGTATTATAGGCCAATTATTTTGTAGAATGTCCCTCAATTTAGATTTGCCTGATGTTTTCTCGTGATTAGATTCAGGTTATGCATCTTGGCAGGACTATCACAGAGGGATGTTGTGTTGTCTCCTTGTATCCTGTCAGGTACATATGATTTTGATTCATCCTGTTGTTGATCATGTTCACCTGTGTCACTCGGTTAAGTTGCTGCCTGGGTTAAGTTGCTGCCTGATGAGTTTCTCTACTGTGAAATTACTCTTTTTTTCTCTTTGTAGTAGGTATTTCTGGGGAAGTACTTTGAAAGTATATGGAAATCTCATTCCTCATCAAAATTCCAGTTTATTCATTTATTTATATGTATGTGGAGAAACCTGGCTCCCATTTGATAAATCCCCGTGTATGTAACCCGTCTCCCTTCGTTGCTGCCACCCCTCCCTGAGCTGATGCCCTTCTCAGCTCAGTTGGGCTCTGACACCCTGCACTGGGATGTTCCCCCGTTGTCCCCAGCGGACACCCTCTTTATCCTGCTCAGGGTCTGATGCTGCACAGGGCCGTTGCCATGTGTGGATGCCCTGTCACCTCACTGAAGCTCTGACCCTCCATTTCAAGCTGCCCTCCTGTGAGAACCCCTTTATCACTTCACTTGGGCTCTGATACCCCGTCCTGAGTTGAGATTTGACACAGTCTTTTCTCTAACTAATCTTATATTAGAAGTATATCTAATTGTATTTCAAAATTTTGCAAGTGTTGGTTTGATAGCATGTTTCTGTCAGTTTTTATTCTAAACCAGGGATTGACCAGGTAGTAAACATTTTTAGCTTAGTAAGTAGGCAGAATCAAAGCTATTATGTAGGTACTTACATAACTACCATTTTAAAATGTAAAAACCATTCTTAGCTTGTGGACCATGCAAAATCAAGTGACAGACCAGATTATTTAGAATTTTTTTTTTAGATAACACTGTTACTATGATTTAAAGTTTATAAAATGCCAACTATGCATTCATTCATTTATCCATTATTCAACAAATATTGTTAGGCCCAATGCTAGATTCTACAAAGATGTATCTTATAAGGCAGGTATTATTAATTCATTTTACAGCCAAGATGCTGATACTCTGGTCAAGTAACTTGTTAAACTTATGCAGCTAAGAAGTGAAAGAAAAAAAATATTTGTTGACTTTCATCCCCTCAGTTTGATGGTAGAATCCATTCATTAGTTAGGGATTCACTTACATTTATCACAGAATTGAATACGGAAAGTGTGTCAAGTATCTAGGCTATTAGTTTGCTTCTAGTTTATTAACTTTCTGTGAGCTGCTGCAGCTCTGTATATTAAATATGGTCTGTAATTCATTATTTAAATATAAATGTTAGGCATGCTGACTTTTAATAGGGTTGCATCCATTCAGTTGGTTGGTGTTTTCTCTAGGTGTGGTTTGGAGAAGACCTGCCTCTAAGTCCACGGAGTCCTCTGACCCCCAGACATGGGCCAGGTTTGGCTGATGTTTGTCAGTATGATGAGTGGATAGCTGTGAGGCACGAAGCTACCCTGTTGCCCATGCAAGAAGATCTGTCAATCTGGTTATCTGGTTTATTAGGTAAGGCTTGCAAAGATGCTCAAAATTGTAATGTCTTATTCAGTAAATGTTTATTGAGAATCTTACTCTTTGTCAAGGAATGATAGTTCCAGAGGCTGGGGATCCTCTAGTGAAGGAAATATTTGATGTCCTTTTTCTCACCAAGCTTACATTCTAGTTGGGAAGATATTCTGATTCACCCTGACCCTCAGGGCTTGAATAGTAAGCAAGTTTGAGGCTTAATGGAAGAGGTCAGTAGTAAGAGCTGTGAATAATCAACATTTTAATTGTTAATGTTAAAAAATTTTTTAAGTGTATAGGTCTAATTTGGGGGTCTGTATTTTATTGATTTCTTTTTTCTCCTTAAACTTGTGTAAGGCATGAGATTCTGGGTGGAATATATGCTGTAGTTAAAATGATTCCTGTTTCTGAGGCTTCGAGGGGCAGAGGTATTTGAAACCTAGGAGGAAATGTCAGCTTGGAGAATGCATGGCATCATATTTCTTTACTCAGTTAGAAGGATGTGAGCGCTCTGAACTTTCTCCCTAGAAAAAAATTCTCTTTTAAATAACAGAATTTCATGTAGCATTGTAAGGTTTTCGTGAAAAGGAATATATATGTATAAACTCATCTATGGTCTTTGAAGAGAATTAAAAACGCACTAAACACTCACTCTTATATCAGTTTGAAGATTTGGATAATTTCTTAAAAGTTTATTATGTAATAATGCTTCCAAATAAGGGATTTCAGAGATGAAAAGTTGGTATTTTCTGAGTGCTTGTTACATTGTTATCTTTAATTTTTAAATTGCAACAAAGACCATCTTATAGAGAATCTTTCTTGTGCAAGCAGTTGTATTGTGCAGTGAATCAAAACTTAACCTTAATAGTGGATCTTGAAATATAAAACACTTTGGTGTTTTTCACTGAAATAAAGTAGATGGCATTTATTTTTTCTGTGCTTCTACACCACAGATATTTTTGTTTTAGTTGACTTTCTCTTAATTTGATATTATCTGCTGTTTTAACTGTACCTTCTAAGAGTGAATGCTCGGAGTCTGATCTAATATTTGTCTAGTGTTTCAGCTATAATCCGATTACATTTAATTATTTAACCATATTGTTTGAATTGACGGTTTCTAGAAGACTCTTAGCTTTGAAATATGTTTTTAGGTATTGAAGTTAAGGCAGAAAGGTTATTGGAAGAACTTGATAATGGAGTACTGTTATGCCAACTGATTGATGTTCTTCAAAACACGGTGAAAACATGCAACTCTGAAGAACCAGTGGTAAGAAAATGTTTGCCAGTAGTGATTTAATACCTTGGTACATATTGATTTGCTTATGTACATTTCTTGTCAACTCTACAAGGTTGTAAACTTCCAACGCAACTATATGTAAAATCTTGGATAATTTACTTAATCTTTTTGAGCATCTGAAAAAATATTCTCACTTGTACAATGGAGATATTAACATTTACCTTGTAGGATATATTTTCGAGGATTCAGCAACATTAAATGAGATAATATATAGATAGTGGTTAGCTTATATAGATAATGCCTGGTACATAGTAAATGTCTAAATAGCTAGTTCTTCTTGAGAACAATAATAGTACCTTCCTTATAGGACTCCTGTGAGAGTTAAGTGAAAAAAGAGGTTGTGATGGTTCCTGGCACACAGTTAAGAGCTATTATCATCATCTTTTTATTCTTTATATATTGTCCTCATCGTAAATTCATAAATATTGGTTGAATGAATAACACCTTTTTTAGACTCTTTTCTACCGTTGACCCTGAAGTTGGGATTTGAGGTAGATAAGGTTTTCCTCTCTTTTCATCAAATATGGGTATTTTCACTCATGGGATCTGGTGTCTCTGAGTGTGTATTCTAGATATTAACATAGTGCTGGTGGAAATAATAAAGTAGTACCATCTTTCTTGGGGGACAATGGGTAACATAGCACATTGAAAATAAAGCACATCCTTTGATACGTAACATAATTCTAATTCCAGGAATTTATTCTAAGAAAATAACCGCAAATTCACAAAAACGACTGTGCAAAAAAATTAAGAACAACCTAAATGCTCATCAGTAGAGAAGTTGTTTAAAATTGATTATGGTACCTAAACAGAGTAGAATATTATCTATACATTAGAAATGACTATTTTAATTTTTGTGTCTTTTTTTTTTTACCCCAAAAGATGCCTGCAACTTATCATTAAGTGTGCATGCACACATACACAAATCAGATTGCAGAATAGCCTGTTTATGTAGCATTCTGTAGGTACAGATATACTTATGTATGGAGATGTCTTACAGAAATGTGGAAAAGATTTCAGTTGATACTAACCATCTTTGTATTTGGCTGTGTTGATTTTTTTTTCCTATATACAACTAGAAAAACTCACGAGGTTATCGTAATCCTAGAAAATAAAAGCAACAGGAAGGAAACATAAGGAACTAGTAATAGTGTGGTTCTCTCCAAGGAGAGAAAGGAACTGAGGGGTAGTGGTAGGAGAAAGACTTATACTCTACTGTGCCCATTGCATTTAAAAAATCATATGTGTGAATTTCTTATTCAAGTAAAAATTTGAAACAAAACTATAAACCCCTCAGCTGGGCTTCCCTGGTGGTGCAGTGGTTAAGAATGTGCCTGCCCCAGTGCAGGGGACGCAGGTTTGAGCCCTGGTCCGGGAAGATCCCACATGCCACAGAGCAACTAAGCCTGTGCCACAACTACTGAGCCTGCGCTCTAGAGCCCGCAAGCCACAACTACTGAGCCCACGTGCCACAAGTACTGAAGCCTGCGTGTCTAGAACCTGTGCTCCGCAACAAGAGAAGCCACTGCAATGAGAAGCCCGCGCACCACAACGAAGAGTAGCCCCCGCTGGCCACAACTAGAGAAAGCCTGTGCACAGCAATGAAGACCCAGTGCAGCCAAAAAAAAAGAGATGAATAATTTCTAAAAAAAAAAACAAACCCTCAGCCTCAGCAGGATTATCTGAACACTCTTGGTCCAGGAAATAAAAAAGAATTAGCATTCTGTAAAACTTAGCTTGTCAATTTTCAAAGAACTTTAATTAAGAATGGGCTACTACTTCCTTGTTTGAAAGTCTCCTCAAGAAACTCAGAACCATATTTATGAATCTGCAAATAAAGAAGTTAGCAAAATTGAGACTGTGTAAACCTTTATCATAGCAATAATTTTGTGTTTGTATTGAACTGTGTTTGGAGAGATATACTATAAAGATGTGCTTTGGAATTGTTAGACTGTCATTTTTTATCTTAACTAAGACTCTCACGTCATTTTAAAAAGAAAGGTTAGAGATGCGTGATCCTGCTGCTAATTTTGACCTGACTGTTTTCCTAGGAATCATTTTCTAGAATACACTTAATGAAAAGCAAAATAAAATGATTTTTGAAGATGCCTTTTTCCTCTAGTGCTATGCACTTTTTAGTTACATTCAATGCACTGAGCATTTATTTAGTAATATTAAAATGGATATTTAATGAAAATATCCTTGATGCATGTTTGAAATTATTCTTTTGTCTTTTCCAGAATTTTCCAATGAGAAAAGTGCCCTGTAAGAAAGATGCTGCATCAGGTTCGTTCTTTGCTAGAGACAATACTGCGAACTTCCTTCACTGGTGCAGGCACATCGGGGTTGATGAGACTTACCTCTTTGAATCTGAAGGTTTAGGTAAGTGTTGTTGTGTTTAATGTTTATTAGGATATTGTATCCTAATAAATACATAATAAATTGTATCCCTCACATCTAATTTTTCTTTCCAAATAAGGACTCAAATGCCACATCTCATTTTACTAGAAACATTTATACTCTAAGTATATGTAAACTATTGGAGAATCAGATTGCAGATCAAATGTATGATAAAGGCTTTTCATTTATGTTTTAGATCCTATATATCTAGAATGGCCTGGACATATTTTACTTCCTAAATGAGTTGGCTATGGGACTGGATTAAGGCTTAACTAATTAATGTTTTCATCAAGAATTACTCTATCAAGTCTAAATTACTAGTAATTTCTTTTTAACTAGATAATTACAGAAATAACAGAAGGCCAAATGATGTATGTTCATGGTGTTTAGATTTACCTTGTAAACAGCAGCTGCCGATTTGGTTATCTAAATGGGCTAATGCTTTTAAAAAGTCATGCTCTGTTGAAGAATTATTGATGTATTTTCTCATTTCATTTAAGTCAACAGAAACATCTGTGCAGTGACCAAAGTGAAAGCTATCTAAGTTTTAGACTATCTATATATTTCCTCAAAGTATTTATGTGCGCGCGCGCATGTGCGTGCACACGCAGACACGCACACACACACACACACACACACACACACACACACACACACACACACACAGAATTTATAATGTTTTGATAAGAGTAGTAGCATACCAAGGGCGGGAGTCATGGGAGTAGAATTCGGCCCTGGTAGAGAGAAGTATTTTGTCACTGACATTGCTTAGAATTGCCAGTTCATGGTGATAATAAAAAGCAAACCAACTTTTTAGTTGGTTTCATTATTGTTTTAGGTTATTAATATTGTAAATATTTCTATTGACCACGCACACCCTGTTGCCTGCAGACAGGTACCTGTTCCCCACTGTTACCTGTTTAGTATGCCTCTGGATGTTCTTATCCAGTGTAGAATTAAAACTAATGGATTGCTATTTTGCCCCCCAGTTTGCACCCTGCTTTAATCCAGGTGTGCTGATCACTAAGCGTATTAGGTTTCTTTTTATTCATAGCATTTTAAAAAATTGAGGTATGTTCATGTAACATAATAGTTATCATTTCAAAATGTAGACTTCAGTGGTTTTTAGTATACTCACGATTTGTGCAGGTATCACCACTTACTAATTCCAGAACATTTCCATCACTCCAAAAAGAAAACCCATACCTATTAGCAGTTGGACCCAGTTACTCCATATCTCCATCCTCTGGCAACCACCAGTCTACTTTCTTTCTCTATAGATTTGCATACTCTGGACTTTTCATATAAATAAAATCATGCAATATGTAGCTTTTGTGTCTGGCTATTTTCAGTTAGCATTATGGGTCATTTATGTTGTAGCATCTAACAGTACTTCATTCCTTTTTATGGCTGAACGATATTTCGTTGTATGGATATACCACATTTTTTTAATCTGTCAGCTGATGGACATTTTGATTGTTTCTATTTTGGGGTTATTATTAATAATGCTGCTATGAACATTTGTATGCAAGTTTTTGAGTGAACATATGTTTTAAATTCAGGGATATACCTAGGAGTGGAATTATTGGGTCATATGGTAATTCTGTGTTTATCTGTTTGAGGAACTACCAAACTGTTTTCACAGTGGCCACACCATTTTACATTCCTACTAGCAATGCACAGAGGTTCCAGTTTCTTCACATAGTTGTCAACACTTATTATTTTTTAAAATTACAGCTGACCCTTGAACAATCCAGGAGTTAGGGGCAGCAGTCCCCTAACCCTGCAGTCAAAAATCTGGATATAACTTTACAGTCAGCCCTGTGTATCCACGGTTCTGAATCCACAGATTCAACCAACCACAGATCTTATAGTACTGTAGTATGTATTTTTTTTTTTTTTTTTGCGGTACGCGGGCCTCTCACCGTTGTGGCCCCTCCCGTTGTGGAGCACAGGCTCCGGACGCACAGGCTCACGGCCCCAGCCGCTCCGCGGCACGTGGGATCCTCCCGGACCGGGGCACGAACCCGCGTCCGTTGCATTGGCAGGCGGACTCTCAACCACTGCGCCACCAGGGAAGCCCCCTGTAGTATGTATTTATTGAAAAAATTTCATGTGTTAGTGGACCCACACAGTTCAAACCATGTTGTTCAAGGGTCAACTGTATAACCATCCTAGTGGGTGTGAAGTGGTATCTCATTGTGGTTTTGATTTGCATTTCCCTAACGACTAATGATATTGAGCATCTTTACATGGGCTTATTGGCCATTTGTATATCTTCTTTACAGAAATGTCCATTCAACTCTTCTGCTCATTTTGCGGGGAGTCAATTGTCTTTTTTTGTAGACTTGTAAGAGGTCTCTCTTTATTCTGGGTATTAGACCCTTATTAGATATATGATTTGCCAATATGTTCTTCTGGTCTTTGGGTTGCCTTTTCACTTTCTTGATAGTGTCCTTTGATGCATAGAAGTTTTTAATTTTGATGAAGTTCAGTTTATCTTTTCTTTGATTGCTTGTGCTTTTGGTGTCATATCTAAAAAACCATTGCCTAATCCAAGGTCACACAGATTTTCACCTATATTTCCTTCTAGGATTTTTATAGGTTTAGCTTTTACGTTTTGTCTGTAATGCATTTTGAGTTATTTTTTGTATACGGTGTGAAGAAGGAGTCTAAATTCATTCTTTTGCATGTAGATATCCAGTTGTCTTAGCACCATTTGTTGAAAAGACTGTTTTTTCCCCTTTGAGTTGTCTTGGCATCCTTGTTGAAAATCAATTGAACATAAACATATGGGTTTATTTCTGGACACTGTTTCATTCCACTGGTCTGTATGTCTATCCTTAAACCAGTAAACACTGTCCTGATTACTGTAGTTTTGAAATTGGGTAGTATGAGTCTTCCAACTTTGTGCTTTTTAAAAGTTGTTTTGGCTATTCTATATTTCTTACAGTTCTTTATGAATTTTATCATCAGCTTGTCCATTTCTGGAAAAAAAAAGAGGCTCTTGGAATTTTGATAGGGATTGCACTGAATCTGTAGGTCAGTTTGGAGAGTATTACAATAACAGTATATGTCTTCCAATCCATGAACATAGGATGTCTTTCAATTTATTTATATCTTAATTTCTTTCAACAATATTTTATAGTTTTCAGTGTACAAGTCTTACAATTCTTTGGTTAAATTTATTCCTAAGTACTTTATTCTTCTTGAAGCTATTGTGAGTGTAATCATGTCCTTAATTACATTTCAGATTGTTTATTGCTAATGTATAAAGTGCAGTGACTTTTGTATATTGATCTCATATCCTGCAACTTTGCTGAATTTGCTTATTAGCTCTATTAGTTTTTTTTGTAGATTCTTTAGGGTTTTCTAAACAAAAGACCATATCACCTGTCAATATAGTTTTCCTTCTTCCTTTCCAATCTAGATGGCATTTATTTATTTTTCTTGCCCAAATGCCCTGGCTAGAACCTCAAGTACAATGTTGAATAGAAGTGGTAAGAGTGGACATCCTTCTTTTCCCTGGTCTTAGCCTCAAGGAAGACATTCAGTCTTTCACCATTAATAATGATGTTAGCTATGGGTTTTCCAGAGATGTCTATTTTCATATTTATAAAGTTCTCTTCTGTTTCTAGTTTGTTGAGTCTTTTTTTTCATGAAAGGGTGTTTGATTTTGTCAAAAGCGTTTTCTGTGTCTACTGAGATAATTGTATGTTTCTTTTCCTTTATTTTATCAATATGGTGAATTGTATTGATTGATTTTCATACGTTGAACCAACCTTGCATTTCTGGGATAAATCTCACTTGCTGCTGGATTCAGTTTGCCAGTATTTCACTGAGAATTTTTTACATCTGTGTTCATAAAGGATATTTCTCTTTAGTTTTCTTGTCATGTCTTTTTCTGACTTTGATATCAGGGTAATACAGGCCTCATAGAATGAGTAGAGAAGTGCTCTCTCCTCTTCTGTTTTTGGAAGAGTTGAAGAAGGCTGTTAACACATAGTCCTGTGCTAAAGATAGTTTAGAATAAAATTGAAGTGATACGTTTCTTCAGTAATATCTCCTGTTAAGAGATCTGAAATATTAATAATTTAATGTTACTAAACTCTTAGTTTTTTAGACTTAAAATACTACACAGGTAAGCATCCATGGTAAATTTTAACCTTCTTGTTAACCATTTTCTTTTTAATTTCAGGAAGATGATAATATGTAGAAAAAATAAAAGTCTTTTCTAAGTCTCCAAATAAGTAACGCTACTGTCTTTTCTTTTACTTCTTTCATGCCATAAATATATTTGCCTATTTAATTTGCCCCCTAAAATATGTGGTCTTATTTTTCACAGTTTTGCACAAAGATCCGAGACAGGTGTATCTTTGTCTTCTTGAAATTGGTCGAATTGTGTCAAGGTATGTATTCCACAATATTTCAGAATTTCAATGTCATAAACATTTTTTAAGCTGCTTTATGTTATCGAGAACACTATTTTCTATAAATGAAAATAATTTTCGATTGTAATAAAGGTAACTTAATTTACTGTTTTTTCTTTCTTTTTGTTTCTTTATTAACTTTGTTCTGTTCACGTGAGACATGTCATGTGTCAGCATCTGCTTGCTCACGTAGCTTGCCTTCATTTAGTATTAAACTGTAAAAGTGGGTACTTACATTTTTCAGATCAAAAGTAGAGTAAGAGGGCTTCCCTGGTGGCGCAGTGGTTGAGAGTCCGCCTGCCAATGCAGGGGACACGGGTTCGTGCCCCGGTCCGGGAGGATCCCACATGCCGCGGAGTGGCTGGGCCCGTGAGCCATGGCCGCTGAGCCTGCGCGTCCGGAGCCTGTGCTCTGCAACGGGAGAGGCCACAACAGTGAGAGGCCCACGTACTGAAAAAAAAAAAAAAAAAAAAAAAAGGAGAGTAAGAGCATACAATCTTTAAAGCAAGTCCTTTGTACACAAAGAGGGTCTGATAAGAAGGCTGAGGCCTGGTATCCTCCGTACCTAGCTCGACCCCATCTTCACTCACGAGATGACTTGTTTATTGTTTTTTTTTTTTTTTAACAAGCTGGTTTTTAAAGGTACGTTTAGGATCCCTGATTGAATATTGGGAGCCTCCAGTAACCCAAATATATATATGCTATGATGTAAAGAAGATAATCTGAATTTTTGGCAATCTGTGGGACATTATAAAGCATTTCCAGATGTCCCAGTGAAACAACTGGTAGAAGAGAGTCATACAGACTTTATTTAAAAATAAAAGATAACCTATTGTGATATACATGGAAGTACTTGGCTCAGACTTCACTTGTTTGATGAGATCTCATGATTGGTTTTCAGCTATGGGGTTGAGCCACCAGTATTAGTAAAATTTGAGAAAGAAATTGAGCTAGAAGAGACCTTACTTAATACTTCTGGGCCTGAAGATTCCATCAGCATTCCAAAATCATGCTGTCAGCATGAAGAGCTGCACGAAGCTGTAAGTAATTGCACACTTTTCTTTCAACTATGATGCGTCAGAATCTCATAGTTCGCCAAAAGTGTTCCTCTTTCATTTTTATTTTACTTGAAGAGGGAAAAAAAAAGTAGCATGAATGAAAGTATTTATTGCAGTATTATTTATAAGGCTGAAAAATTGGAAGCAATGTAAATACTCTCAGATTGGGCAATGGCTAGGTAAATTAGGATTTACTATTTTAGCAGAATAATCATTTTTTGTAATCATTATGAAGACTATATAGCAACAAGAAAAATGTTTACTTTGTGAAAAGTATGTATCAGAACAAGGAGAATGAAAATAATTGATATTAGGGTAGTACCTTTACAGATGATTTTAATTTCTTTAGCTATTTCCTTTAATGTTAAAATGTTAATTACACAATAGCTAAAAGCAGAAGAGAACATTTTTTATTCACAGCACTTACTCCTTTTAGGCTCACCAACTTATTTAGATTGTGGGTTAGTGCTGATTTGTACTGCTGAATATAAGTGGTATTTGGATATTTTAAACAAAGAAAATAAGTGACCTTTCATGCCTGCAAGCTTGTTATGAAAACTAAAAGGAGCACATTTCTTTAAATATATATGTGCTATATGAATATATTCAGAGTCCACCTATACATATGTGACCTGCTGAGATCTTATGGTCGTGTTTAAAATCTGATTCATTATTTTGAGTGCTGTTAAGAAATATACAACTGCAATTCTGTGTACCTAAGAAACCTTAATGGATAGAAAATAATGACTGAAATAATTACCTCCTTTCAAATTACTTTGTTATCTAACTTGTAAATGGTTCAAATAGTTGTAAATTCTTTACCCAAGTTCAAAATATTTTTTAGCCATCTTATGCATGTGGTATGTATGTGTGTGTATGCATGTGTGTACATATGTGCTCATATAACCAAACTGAACAAGATAAACTTCATTGAATGGCTTATGAAAATCAGTTCTATTTATGATCATGTTATTTTGTTAAATGAATGATGTAGGGAGATAAATCCGGATCCTTCTGATCAGGCCTGGGTGAATCCACATGTGTCCATTTTGTGTAGATAATTAAGACACTCATAAATTTCTGTTAGTGCTCAGGTAGGTTGGGTATATCTGAAGAGACTTTCTTTAACATCATGCCTAAGTGCAATTAAGTGTATTTGTTTAGATATACTCTGTGTGACAAGTAGTTGAGAAAAATATACATGACCTTGCTTTTTCAAAAATACAATTTTAGGAAAACAAAATGGTTTCCATAGTGGCTGATATGTGACTTTTTTTTTCAAATCAAACATATCTCAGCAAATATTTTCATTTAATCAATTTATATTAATTTCTATGTTTTAAATAAAGAATTCCTGAATTTTAATTTTTATTCCAGTTTTTACCTTTTTTTTTTTTTTTTTTTTTTTTTTTGCGGTACGCGGGCCTCTCACTGTTGTGGCCTCTCCCGTTGCGGAGCACAGGCTCCGGACGCGCAGGCTCAGCGGCCATGGCTCACGGGCCCAGCCGCTCCGTGGCATGTGGGATCTTCCCGGACTGGGGCACGGAACCCGTGTCCCCTGCATCGGCAGGCGGACTCTCAACCACTGTGCCACCAGGGAGGCCCAGTTTTTACCATTTTTAAGATATTTACTGCAGTTAAAAATTCTGTAAGCCCCTCGAGGAGTAGAGGTAGGATTTTCTCCTCAGTTCTCATCTCCTTAGCAAACTATTGAAACAAAGTGAGTGCTTTTAGAAAAATGCCTCTTGAGTTGAAATTTTTAGAATTTACCTAGTCTTGGGTGAATATTGGATTGGCCAAAAAGTTCGCTTGGGGTTTTCGTAAGATGTTACGGAAAAACCCGAAAGAACTTTTTGCCCAGCCCAATAGCTATAAATGCATCTCTGCCTATTTTAACAGTAACTTTGGAACAAATCTGGATATTCTTCCATACATACAGTATTACTTTCACATGGTGTTAAGGGACAAGTGAAAATTCCTGGTTAAACTTTATCTAACGGGTTCATCTATGATTTGACAGATATATTAATCCAAGTCTTAAAACAATTCAACCTTAGTAACGAACTGTTTCCTATGACTGAATGAATGTGTTTTGAATTGACGTCACTGTGTACACATTCACAGACCTTCTCCGGTGATCAGTGAGTACACGACAAGCCTGATTGCACTTGGGCAGAGAGCGAGAGAGAGAGAGAGACTCCAGACTTCCTCACTGTTAGGTTTTATTAGATTAGCTAATGTCTAATCTCAATATTTGATAACAAGTAAAAGAGAAGAGATAATAAATAGTTGAACTGTCTTTAAATTTTTATCTTTGAGTTTGATTTTCCCAACTATCAAATAACTTTGCATTTTAACATTAAACAAAATAGTTTTTGTCACAAGCACTAAATCTTGTGGTTTATTTTTAATCTTAGGTTAAACACATTGCTGAAGACCCTCCTTGTAGTTGTTCTCATCGATTTTCTATCGAGTACTTATCTGAAGGACGGTATCGACTAGGAGATAAAATACTTTTTATAAGAGTAAGTCCACCGTTTACATCCTGTTTAGATCTTGTTTTGAAATTGAATTTATTGTTTTACCAACCTTCTTTTGTTCCCCTTTTACTTTAAAAAAAATTGGAATAGAGGATGTTATTAATGGAAGAATTTCACTGTATAGAAGGAAATATATGGAATATTTTCAAGAGTATATAATGTGTTTAGGTAAACACGCTTAACATAGCAAACAACTAATTAAGCTAAGACTATTTGGACATTGAATATAATTGGGGGGAAAATTTTTTGAATACCTCAGGTAACTTATTCCATTTTTTAGATTTCCTAAAGAGGAATAATTTTCTATCATAAGAAGAAAAAAGCAAAACGAGAACATCTAATAAGATTAAATGTCAGTAAGAAGAAAAAGAAATAGAAACAGGGCAGTTGATAATAATATAGACTTTGGCTCTTAAGTCTGAAGCCTTTTTTTCACTGACACAGCATCAGCATCTATACTAATATGCTAATATACATGCTTATTTTCTTCCTTTGTCCCATTTGCAATCTGCAATTGATTAATTGTCCCCTTTGCTGATAAGGAGATTGAAGTTTACCTGTTCATCATTCTGTCCACTTATTGATACAAGAGCTGTTTTATTCCCAATTTAGGAATGTAATATAAAAGTATGTAAAAAATATAATTTTACCACCTATATTTTCTTTTATTTCATGTATTATCATTAGTTCCCCATACCCTGTTCAACTCATACAGAAACAGGTATATGCATTTTGTCTTTTAATTAGATTTCTTTTCTTAAGCAGTATGATATAGTGATAGTACACAGAGCATGGGATTTAGAGTTAAAATTTGCAGAGCAGTCTCATACAACTGTGCAGATTTGCCTGCTGAATGAATAGGGGCCTGAGTCCGTCCAGCTTGGGCTGTGCTGGCAGACCCACGATATATCTTATCAACACAAAAGCACCTTTTGGGTTGGGCAGCCTGGTGCGTTTGAGGCCAGGCCAAGCTGTGTGGTTTGGGACAGTTTCCTTAATCTCTCAGAGCCATAATTTTTTCATCTGCAAAGAAGAACTAGTAATAAATTACATCAAAGTTTTTGCAAGATTAAATTGGTATGATACATATGAAAGTAATTTGTTAAATTCTAGCATACAAGTTTTGGTAGTTTTTATCTTCTGTAATTATGTTTTTCTTTAGTATGAATCTTTTTTTCTCTCTTCCCCTCCTTTACTCTCCCTTTTCCTTTCTTCCTTCAATATTCAGTCCTTGCAGTTTTGCGTATTAGTAATTTGGATTTTTAGGATGTGTAAATATCTTCCTTCCAAACTGGAGGATTCTCTGTTGTTAGTTGCGTGATTCAATATGAATTAAATTTGTTACTTTAGTAATACAAGAAAGAGACTGGCAATTTATAGTGAAGCTGTTGGCAAATACACTGAATTTCATAGTCACAGACATCACAGACTATGACTGCTAATGAACCATAACTGCACCTTACAGTTTTACAGCTTTATTTTTTACTTTCTTTTGGGGGAAAGATGCTTCATGGAAAACATGTCATGGTCCGTGTCGGTGGAGGCTGGGATACTCTTCAAGGATTTTTGCTTAAATATGACCCCTGTCGAATATTACAGTTTGCTACACTAGAACAGAAAATTCTAGCATTTCAAAAAGGAGTTTCTAATGAAAGTGTGCCTGATTTGTCCGCCAGAACACCTCAGCCTCCTGAAATGAATCCTTTGTCAGCAGTTAGCATGTTTCAGAAACAAAATTCAAAACCTGACACACCAGTTGGTATTCCAAGGAGCAAAGAGAAGCAGGTACGTCTGCCAGGTGTGTTGCCACCAACATCTTCCCTGAGAGGAGGCAATCTGGCCTGTGGGTCTGTCCGTTCTAAATTTCCAGATTCTCCAGCAGTGTCCTCTCATCTCAAACTCAGATCTTCAAAGGGCGTAACAAAGAAACCGCAGGCTCCTTCAAACGATGCATCATCTTCATCTGCTTCTTTAAATCCAGTAGGTAAAAGCACTTTTTCACCAGCTTTATTAAGAACTGCACCTTGTGTATCTGAGTCGTTGAGAAAATGTATCTCATCACCCAGTACTCCTAAGGCCAAGCTTACTCCAGCCCAGAAGTCAAGAGATGTGCCTGAATCTACATTTTTGCCAAATAAGTGTTCTGGAAAAATTGAACCAAAGCATTTGAAACACCATCCTGTGTCTTCCAGGGATTATGCAGTGTCTCACTCAGCTGCACATTTAAATTCATCATCAAAGTGTCCAAAGCCGCCTAAGGCAAATCTGCACGTAAGGCCTAACCCTTCTCCTTCTTTCCAGTCTCCTGCAAAAGTGACAACATCCAGTTCCAAAACGATAACCACGGGTCTGAGAACACAGTCTCAGCCACGTGTTGGAGCTCTGCAAGCGGGGGCAATGCCAGCACAGAAACTTAAGTCAGCCTTGAATTTAAACCAACCACTTTCTGTATCCTCAGTTGCTCCTGCAAAAGCTGCAGAGAAGTCAAAAGATAATATGGTTTCAGTTGCCAAAAAGCAGCCTCAGAATAAAAGCACGTCCCAGAAGACAGGACCCAGCTCCTCCAGGTCCCCGGGCCGTACCCCGCTGTCCATTGTGAGTCTTCCCCAGTCTTCTGCCAAAGCACAACCTGAACCAAAGTCAGCACAGACTGCCACCAAGAGCCAGTGCTTAGCCAAAGGGCCTCCCAAAAGTGGCAAAGCCCCGGCTGCAACCAGGAAGCCACCCTCATCTGGCAAGGAGGCAGTTAGTGGAGATAAAAAACCTGCAAAGAAGAAGGAAGGCAATGATCATTATTTTGTTATGACTGGAAGTAAGAAACCTAGAAAATAAACATAATGTGTCATTCTAAGAGAACAGAGGAAAGAAAGAGAGTGAATGTGTTAGCTGCACACCTTAAAAGTTTCTTCTATTTGTGTTTATCCAAATAGGTTCAGACATTAAGTACAATAAGATGGGGGTAGAGGTTGGGGCGAGGAGGGGCTCATCAGAATTCACATACCTGAATTCACCAGAAGGTACCCTTTTAAGGTGAACAGTGGTAAAATCAGAGAGATTCTTATTAGTTATAGACATTATATGATTTTCAGTCCATGACATCTGTGTTTAATGTCTGCCCATTAATGGAAATGTAAAGTCAAATAACACTACTAGGTTTATAACTATAGTTGCTGTATTTTGAATATGGGTTAAATGTGGAAGTTATTACCTGCTAATAGAAACAGAGGTGCTCTTAATATAAGTTACTGCATTTTAGTTTAAAAGCAACGGTTTGGCACTTGTCTTACAAAAGACATCTTATTTTGTTTCCTGATCAGGATTGCCTGGTGGAACAATACTAAGTACCAGTGGCCGCAGCTGATGAGCTTACTGTTACTCTGGGTTTGCTAGAATTGCTATTATTTAAAATTTTTTTAAGCTTTCCAAATCAGAAGGAACTGATTTTTTTTTAACTGACTTCTATTAACCTTGGTAATATTTTGTTACCAATATTTTTGGTAAAAAAATAAAATTAAGGTATTGAAATATAAATTGGAACTTGGAAAAAAAATTTTTCACATATTATTTATAAGAACTTATATTTTAGATGGACGTTGTGCAATGTGAAAGGGGAAATGATTTAGTAGCTTTTAGCATATTAGAAATATTTTTTAATAATGTGTAATTTTCTGTGAGTGCAGATATCAGTTTTTACATTAAAATAATGTTTAACATCAGAATTATGTTTTAACAATCTTAAAATTAAGGTGATATTAAAGAGTATTTAAGTGGTGCTACATAGAAATTCTGTCATGTGATTACTATTTTTCTTTAGCGCAATAATACAAGTTTTAATTAGAGTTTTCCAATTATGTTAATTTTCTTCAATAAAGTCATGCTGCCTTCAGTTTTCCAATGGCAAATGGACAGAGTATGTATGCAGCGTTTTCTGTTCTGTAGGCAGATTCTCCAAGGAACTTACCCAGATCATGTAGTGACTATATAGACTCTATCGATCTGGGATGATATTTGTAAATAATATGTTTTTTAATAGATTGTGACTATTTAAAAAATTGTTAATGTACTTTCAGAAGTTTTAGGGGTGTGTTTAATAACTTTACAGTATTATCAGCTATCACAGGTTATTATATTCAGTATTGAGGTCTGTGTTTCCCTATTTTAAACTAAAATGTGTTTTCTAAAGAAAAATAACGGTTCACACAAATGTGCAATCGTAGAATAAGCATCTTAAGCTGACTACTGATGTTTGTAGATTTTAAAGCAAGAAACTTTTGTATAAAACTAAGCTATCTTTTGTCTGAGAAATACAGTTAAAATCAAAGCTGTGTGCAGGCTAGTTTTTGAAATAATTGATGCTTCTCTTCTTAAAAGAGACAGTCACCAAATATTTAGTTGAGTTCCACTGTTGATCTGGGCATTGAGGGAGATAATATTTACATCTTTGGAAAGTGAAGTCAGTGTTCAAGAAGTACCAGAAGCTTTACATTTTTAGTGATGAGAAATATTTAATACATCTTTCAGCGAGGAAGAATTTTACCTTTAAGAAGGAGTTTATTCCTTTGTAAGACCAAACAATTCTGTATCAGTAACTTCAGGAATAAAAGTATCATCTGGCAGTTCCAAGAACTGGTTTTATTTTTTTTGAAAAATTGTAAGTTAATTCATAAATAGCCCTATCTTCATCAGGCTACTGATGGTAGGAATTTCCAACTCCTATAGTTCTGTTATAATTTCACACTTTGATACAGTGAGAATATTCTTGAAATACACATTTTATCCAGTACTCATGATCAGGGAATTTCTCCAATTATATTCACATTGGATGAATTTTTATTTATATATAGCTTACTCTTCCAAAATAAAAATTTTTTTAAAGTAAGCAGTGGCTAAAAGACACTTTCTTCAAATATATTTTGAAATGCCCTTAAAGACCTAGTGTTTCTAATTGTTTTCACAATTTTAAAAGTACATTGTTGAAGTTAGAAAGAAATTATCATTTCTTCTTAATAGTAGTGCAAGATTTTAAGTTTCTTTTTGTTTAATATTTAGTAAAATGAATATTAAGCTTAAATTACTGATGTACCTGGAAGAAGAAATAATGTGTACTTTCAAAAAAGAATGAAATATTTTAATTTTTCGTTTCTGTAATTTGTTAACGTGACTAACATATCAAATAAATCTTAAGAGGAAAATGAAATGCTGATTATTTTTGCATTGTTTGAGCTTACACTAGGTGTTTAAGGCTTATAGATGCTTTGATAAATTAGATGATCTCTAACTTTCCTCTCCACACTGAGTTAACAGTTCTTAATGGATAAGGGAAATTTTTTGAGGAAAGAAATTACTGTTCCTTCTGCAATATATATCTGATACAAAAATCTGTTACTTCTTTAAAAGGCTTTAGTTACAAGTTGTCATGATACAGTCATATCCAGGTTTACGTACTGACTCCATTTGAATCCAAATTTGTATATATTTTCTTGTGCCATCAGTGTTTGTATCAGATTTTAACTTATATTTTCTCAAGTATTAAAGTTTAAACATATATACGAAGTCCTCAGTTTACATTTTTGTGTGTTCTGAATACATTCTGATCACTTGGTTCATGTCAGAAATTGCATATATGAAGCATTCATAATTTGAGGATAGTTTTAATTTTATTGCTATTTAAAATGCCCTTCTGATACCTGTGGAATATTTCACTGCTCCTAGGAGATTATCAAGGTTTTGCCATTAATAACGGTATTTGTTCCACAAGTTGTTGTATCTGCTAGAAGTTTGTCTCAGTAAGGCTAGACTCATATTTAATAATCTCTGATGACAGAAATAATTTATAAGTTATGAAAGCAGAATTCTATAGATCACATAAGTATTGTGTTCACAGAAGGCTACTGACAGTCGGAATTTCCAATTCCTGCAATGCTGTTTTAATTTCACACTTTGATACAGTGAGAATGTTCTTGAAATATTCATTTTATCCTATATTCATGATCAGAGCAATTATAAAAAGCAGTTAATTAAATATGTATTTTCTGTGATGTTTCCAAACGAAAACAAAAACACCACTTAGACAAAGTCAAAATTCTTATATTTTCCTAATCATTTGTGAATGTAAAAATTTTAAACAAGTTCATTTTATGAAATTTTGGGGAACATTAGGAAAATATTAATGAAACACTTGCCAGTAAATCTGAAAATATAAAGACATATTTTATTCAATTAGCTATTTTCCTGTAAATAAACTGTTTTGTTCTTGTAGAAAAACACAATATGACTCGATCTTGAAAAAATAATACGTGCAAAGATTTAGCTATAAGGATGTTAGTCATAACACATCATTAATATTGTTATGACCATAAAGTAGAACACCACACAGACATTAAAAAATGATGTAGGTGCTGATTCTTTTTTTTCTTTCCTTTTTTTTTTTTTTTAAACCTTTTGGTTTATTTATCTTCATGTAGGTTATGTAACAAAGTTTATTTCAGTAGTCACTTAAAACTAAATTCCTGAATTCTCACATTGTGTAGAAATATCACAGTAATCCTTTCTGGGTTGAGCAAGACGTTTGTATCAGTTCATGAGGTATAGTGATATATTCTTGAAGTTGGCTGTGGCTATAGCCAGTTTGCATATCTGAATATGATGACACTACTTTTGATTAGTCACAGCCACTGGTGAGGATAATTGACTAATTTAAAAAATGCTCGGCAAACACTTGGGATTTATCTTAAAAGATGTATGTACGGTGATGAAGTGATTTGTTTTGAGAGATGGCAATGATAAAACAATATATAATATTTCTGAATTGTCTGTGTTCTGCCAGGCACAGTACTTATTGCATGGTGCGTGAAAGGATTTTTTCCTGAGGAAATGTTGTGGTAGAGTTTGAAGAAGCCTGCAGGTATGACCTGCTTATTTCTGGAGGGGAATGGACAGGAGAGAGGAAGAGGGCACTAATAAGAGAGGCCTTGAAGTTATGGATTTCTTCCATTACATTAAATAACAGAGAATGCTGCACTTTTACAGAAGAAAAAGGTTAGGAACTTTCCAACTTACTATCCAGGTTTTTGTTTTAAAATATTTATTTTCGGGGTTTGAGAAGATACTCAGCATCATGTATAGACTTAGATTAGCAAGGGTCCTGCTACTGCGTTATTCAATCCTCACACTGAACAGATGAGGAAACTCAGCCCAGGGAGTTTGTTGATAGAGCATGTTAGCTACTAAAGTCACACCAACCTGTGAGCCGCAGAGGGAAGTCAAGGCAGTGGTCCCAGGGAGCTGTGTGAGTTACCCTGAGCGCTGGCCCCTTCAGTGGGTCCTAAATGCATTGGGTCTAGCCCAGCAGATTCCTTGTATTACCTGTATTGATGATTATTCCAAAACAATCTACTCAACCACAAGGCACTGAAACACCAACTCACTCATTTGCTCATTTAGCAAACAATTTTTTCTGAGTGTCTGTGGCAGACACTAAGCTAGATGCTAGGGATACAGTAGTAAGACCGGTCACTGCTCTCCAGGAGAGGACAGTCTTTATTCAAGTGGTTAAAAAAAAAAAAAAAGTATGATGTTCTTTTTGACTGTAGCCCACTCAGTTCTTTCTGGGATAAGATACCTTGGTGAAAACCGTCTGTCTTTTCTCATATTGCTTCGGATCAGGAGCCCATAGAAAAAAAGTGAAAAACTTGTATTTGTATCTGAGCCTTAAGAACAAGAGTCATTCACCACCAACTGTTTCTCAGAAAATAGAGCAGAAAGAATCAAGTCCTAAACAAGGGATGGGAAACGAAGAAATCTGAGCTTTCTCTGGATAAGCCATCAAGAAG